ATTTCTCTTCAACAATCATACATCCAAAAAACATATCACATCAGTGTTGAAATTTTTATCATCAATTCTACAATTTACACACAGGGAAGTTTATATTTACATTTTGCATACTTGTTAATTTATATTTTACACACTATTTTTTTTATTTAAATGGTTATACAATTACATTTTTGTTAGAAGAAAATTATACCTTTGCCTTTAAAAATAGGTGAACAGATCAAAATATCCTTAACTAGAAATAACAAATCATGCCATATATAATAAATTACGTAAGACGTTATATACAGTTTGTTTAACTATTTTTTTTATAAATCTCTAAAATTTACAAGAATTTTTTGATGTTTCATTATTTTTTTTTCTTTAAAAAATGGCATTTTTTAGTGTGAGGTTTACAAAATTTATGATCTTCATTTTTCTAACTTGCAATTGACTAAAATTTAGACAACATCCGTCTTACGACAAATATCATGCAACGTAGCAAACATGTTTCTCACATTTTGAATTTTGTCTCTTCGATGCACCATATCTAAGTTTCCGTTTGAAAAAATATATAAATCAATTCATAAATGATTGAGAGTGTGTTTGGTAGGAATTTTTGTGGGAAGAATTGATTTTTGAATAGTGATATGATGGGAAATGTGTGATTGAAAAAGAAAAAAAAAAAGTATTGATGTGATGGAAAATATTATTTTATTAAAGAATGTGTGGTTGAAAATGAGAATTGATTTACTGTAGAAAATGAAAATCTGTACCAAACAGGCTCTAAACTTCATTTTCAATAATTATATTTCAATTTTTCCAATTTCGACTTTGATGTTTTGGTCTAGTTACAAAGACAAACAATAAGTTCAAATTTTGTTAAGCTTTAGTCTGACATGTTGAACGATTGTCGATTGAGACCTTAAAGAGTAATGATTTTTTATCGATCTTAGAGACCCACAAAAGTACGAAAGCCATGATCTTTGAGAAAACAGATTCCTATTCAATCCTCAATTACCAATCCTCGCATGAATTCCACAAATATATTTATTGGAAATATTTATGCAATTATTCATCACTTATTTCTATATATTTATAAATTAAATTATCTTTATAAACATGTTCGGATGGAGGCTAAGTTTTCTAGAAGATGCAGAAACTTTTCTCGTCTTCGCCTCCGCTTGGCGTGAAATTTGAGTCTACCCTTTTGTGCTTGACTGGAAAATTAATAATTTCCTTTTGCTATTCATCTGTGGCCGAATCTTTTGAATTTTGAAGCTGTCCTATCGAGGGGATTTGTGGTCTTCACGCGGAAAGCTCCCCATTCCCCTACAGGAAAAAGAAGCTTCCTTGTGCATTTGTTTGGCACCCCATCCTACTTATTAGTAACTTATAAGTTTTAATCAAAATTAACCATTAATTTTAACCAAATATTCGTAAATATAACATGTTTATTATCCTCATACTTTATAGTACCCAATAATATCCCTCCTTGTAAATTAAGAATACATTGGTTTGAAGCACAAATCAAGGGCAAATTCGACTCAACATTCAAAAGTGATCCTTAGCTTTTCACTATAATTATACCATTAATCTTCTAAATCAAAAAGAGTACAAAATCTATTTTAAATTGTCAGGCGATCCTTAAATGTCTAACCTTAAAAGATTAACACCCTATTTGATCCATGTTCTTATAAAAATTCATTTTTTCAAAACTCATTTTCAACCACACATTCTTCAATAAAATAATATTATACGCAAATTCAAAACTTTTCATTATTTTTTATCTGCATATTTTTCATCAAATCACTATTTAAAATCAGTGTTCTAAAATGAATAATGCGTTGCGATGCGTCGAGTCCGAGAATCAAGAATCACAAGTTTAGGCGTGTCAATGCGAAGAATAAACGTCATAATGCGTTTCATATTTTTAAGGCATTAAATGTATTTTTATATAAAAAAAAGATTTTTTACCAAAAAAAATGGGCGGCATAAGGCGCGTATTGCGCCGTCTTTTAGATGGAAAATGCATTTTCCCGTACATTCCCGAATTCGACGCGTTTTGCCCGCGCATCACACCTAGGCGGCGCATTTTCGCGAGTTTTAGAACACTGTTTAAAATGCATTCTCCACTCTATTATGTGCATCAAACTGGTCTAAATTTGGTTTATAATGGGGATAATGTCCAAAAAATTTGAATTGACATGTGAAAATCTAATTACCGTTCTTAGATATCAATTACGTAAAATTGAGTATAATTTTTTTTTTTTTTTTTAAATGTTGGAGATCACTTACTATCTATTCAACAACAATATTATTATTCTTTTCGAGTAAACAGTTTTTATCTTCAGTGTTGATTGGTCTAGGTGACAGTTTGAACCACCTGATTCATTGTTCAATAGAATTGTAATACATTGGTTATTGAACAGTAAATCAAGAACTTTCCGTGACCTAAATTAATAATGTTATTTACAAAAGATGAGAAACATTACATCTTTTTTTTTTTTTCTTCTAATACGAAAACAAAAATGGAAAATGGTTGGTCTTTTAGTCTATTTAAGAATGAGTCAAATTTCAACTTAAGACAGCGGTAAGTGACGGAGATCAATAAAGAGTGGATTATCTACGAAAGTGACGAGACTATAATGACACCAAATATTCTTTCTATAACTTGTATTGTTTGGCGTTGATTTAGTCCAATTCGACGGCTTTAAATTAATCTCAATATAATCGTGCGATATTTGGGGCCCACACACACTTCTATGATTGTATTTCATATTTTATTTTATTCCATTAGTCAAATGATTTAACTAGAAGGATCCATTAATTATTTTTCATTTAATTAGTAATAGTTTCAACCAATATAATCTACTAGAGTACACGATAACTTTCTAATAAGAAGAAAAATCTAAATGTTTCTATATAATACTAGGTGCAAACAACGTGCAATGCACGTTTGCCTAATTTATATTTAATAGTTTTGTTTAATAATTAATTTGTTATTAATAAAGATGTAATTTTTTTGGTTAGTTAAATAATTAATGATGTAATGTTTATGTAATTGATAAATAATTAGATGTGTGATTTTGATGTTGTGATGTAAGTTGGTGAGATCGAAGAAAATAAGCAAAAGTTGACAAATTTGGAGAAATGGCTAAATTGTAAGGGATCCAAAGTTCGGGGACTAAAATGTAAATACTTAAAAGTTGTGCCGAACCTCACGATGAAAATTTGAGAGTGCTCGGAGTCAATTGGATAAAGGAAGACGTCAATGGAATCAAATTTAGTCAAAAGATGATCACAAATCAATTTCCAACCGAAAAGTTATGCTCCGATATTTTAGTCTCATATTGAGACCTATTTTTGGCATAGAAAGTGATCGAATTGGAGAATGATGTCTGAATCAAAGTTGTAGCCAGATGGGTTAGCTTTCCAACGCATTTTGAATCGCCTCAATCGGACATCGGAATACAAAGTTATGATAAAAATACTGAAAGAAGGTGCAGCTGCCTGTTTAAAACAAGAAATTCCGTTACATAATCCGTTAAAACAACAAATTCCGTTAGTTTTTCCGTTAAAAACAAGAAATTCTGTTACATAGCCACTATTAATATATAAAAGATATTATGTCTCTGTTTGGTGGGATTTGAAATTAGTTTTTTAAAAAAATTGATGAAATATGTGGTTAAAAGTTGTTAATCTTATAAGATATATGGTTAAAATTAATTTCTAATTTTGACTTATATTAAAATTTAGATTTCTTTTTCTACCAAACAAATGCTATAATTGTGGTGCCACTATAATTATGAGACCATAGATCTAAATTTTATTACCTCTTGTTTGAGTATTGTAGATGACTTTTCCTTAGAAAGCCTAAATCTATAATCACCAATTAATTTTCATTCCTCCCAGGGTTTGTGAGTTCTATCAAAATTTAACGTCTGCTGCTGCTCAACTCATCGACATTGGCGACGGCCACAAATATCTAGCAATTAGACAAACCTTCGTACTTATTTCAAGTTTCTACGCATTGATAGCGCTACACTGTTCCAGAAAAATTACAACTAACTTCTTAATCCCACAATATAAATGTTTTGACTCCGGTGATAAGTAATATTAATAGAGTGGTTGTATAATTTTTATTTGATACACAACATTTTAATTGGAGTCAAACTCCTCAATAATGGCTCGTTGTAGCAATTAGTATTAACTTTTTTTCTTCGAATTCTTATCTTCAACATTCTAGTGCGTGTCGTTATTGATGATGATTTATATCTAATTATTTTGTTTTCATATTTTAAAATGAGGGAAATATTTTTTTGCACTTTTTATTTATTTATTTTTTAAAAATATTATGGTAAAATAAGTTATTTTACATAATTTCAACAAGCTTTTGGACATAAAATTACTATCAAATATAAAATATGTTAAGTAATGAAAAGTTCAAGGATAAGAAGAACATGAAAAATCGTTAGGAATATAAACAAAGATTAATCTTAAATAAATTAAAATGTGGTGTAAGAAATAAAAACCGTTGTGGAAATATAATTAGCCATATTAGCCCCAGTTTGGTCTACATTAAAATTATAATTCATTTTTTCTCTTTTCTTATCAATCGCACATTCTTTAATAAAATAATATTACACTTAATTCTAAAAAAAAATCTTTTTTTTAACCGTACATTTTTCAGAAAAAACATTATTTCAACCATTAAAATTTCAAATAATAGAGGTCAAACGGTGGCTTAATATTATGAATTAAGCTTGTTGTACACTCTTTAGCGTACAATAAAGTTTGATACCCTATTTATTATGTGTCAAAATTTGAGTTATTAATTATTTAAAGTATTTTTAAAATTAATGTATGAAAAATTGTCACTTCATGATAATGTTATATACATATAGAGCAAGATTGTCATATTATTCCATTTTTGGCCTTTGTCCCTACAACGACTGGACGAGGACGACCACGCCAATAAAGAGAGAGAGAAAAAAAAAAAACAAACAAACGCAGAATTTATAATGGGAACAGCACAACAGGTAAGCGACTTTTTGTAGGCTACAGTCTTCATTGTCCTTACAAACAATAATGTATCTATGATCAATATTCACTGTGTAGACCCATATAGAAAGACATTGTAGAGCTACCAAATCCCCAGAGAGAAGGGCCATCATGGTTTTCATTCCTTCAAGAGTGAATTTTTACATGCGTCTATCAAGTTCAAATTCTTCATATTTCAAATGGATCATAATTTTCATGTTCTTCTACATCTGCGTATTGACTCAATCCGATCCGAGAATTTCAGAAGCTCGGCTTCTCTGTGGCCGAACAAGGGCGTCTCCAAATACCGATTTCATCCAATTATTTGTTAAAGTAATGGAAACTCTTTCTCAACAAGTCAATTCTCAGAATTGGGGTAGTCATGCACTAAATTCCAGCACAGCTTCGATTTACAGTTTAGCCCATTGTTACAGAGATTTATCGCACGATGATTGTCTCCAGTGCTATGCGGCGAGTCGAACCCGCCTACCCCGCTGCATCCCCGACGTGGGTGGCCGTTTATTTCTCGATGGGTGCTTTTTGCGGTACGATAATTACAGTTTTTTTGGAGAAGCAGTAGACCCAAAATGGGATATACGAGATTGTAACAGTTCAATTGTTGATAATCCAAATGAGAATCAGTTCAGCCGATCGGATTTTAATAAAAGTGTCGAGGATTTGATTGATAATATTACAGCAAGAGCACTGTTGAACGATGGTTACGCGGTGGCGGGGTTGAAGGGTGTTTATGGATTGGCGGATTGTTGGAGAACTTTGAGCACAAATAGTTGCAGAGAGTGTTTGACGGCGGCGCGTAGGGAGGTGATAGGGTGTTTGCCTGGCCGGGAAGGCAGAGCATTGAATACTGGTTGTTATTTGAGATATTCTACTCAGAAATTCTACTCTAATCATTCTGATAC